GCAGCATTGTGTTGTTTTGTGAAACGCTAACTCTCCCAGAGTTATTTTGCTTCGGCACCTCAGGGCCACCATGCCTCACAGGCGGATGTTTTGCAGGTAATGGGGAAAAAGGCTTCACAGAGTTTCAGAATGAGTGTGAAGGCGTAGAAATTAATCAAGGCAATACAGCAGGAGCCACTGCGCTGAGGACATGAGGAGACTCTAAAGAAAAAGTACTTGTCTGGCTGGTAATAACCAGGAATTTATGGTATTTAATGAAAAAAATATATGAGGGCGTTCATAACTCCTAACACAGTCGTGGGAGAATTAAGTGAAACCTGTGATTTAATAATGTACAGCAACGTTTAGCTGCAATAACCTGAAGAAATGATTTTCTGTATAACTTTATCACTCTCTCATACCACTGTGGAGGAATCGGCCTTTGAGGTTTGCAGACATTTTTGTTTTCTCTGCAGCTCTCTTACAACAGCAGCTCAGTTTGGACTTTGACAGTTTAATCGCAAACTGTTAATTCTGGTGTTTTCCGGCCTCGTTGCTGTGGATTTGCAGCTTTGTTTGGTATCAGTTGAGCCGTTTGGGCCAAGATCGGTCTGTCGGACAGATGGCCTCACACTGGACTCTGGAATACTTTGGTATACAGAGGAGGGAGATTATGTTAACTCAGTGACTCCTAGGAACACAGGTCTACGGTTGTGAAGTTACACAGTGGAAAATTAACAGCAAATATCTGGATTGTTGTGGGTGTTAACTTTTCAAAGTCATAATATTGCATAATACATCTCCTCAAACTGAGATGATCACATTATAGATGTATTTGTGTCAGCTGCTTTTTTTAAATTAGCTTTTCCATCTATGCTCTGCAGAGTTGGAAGATGGAAATAAACATCCATTTTAATGCTGGAAGAAGTTTGATCTGCATGTTATAATTAGAAAGCTAATTAGAGAATTTAACCAGGTGTGTTTGCATCTACGCTGGTTTAATTGTGTCGCATTTACAAATTAAGTTGTTCTACCAAAACAGAAGAAGCAGATCGACTCAGACAGCTTCACACGGATAGCTGAATTACATCCAGACTATTTTCCCAGGCCTTCCTCTGGCGCTGGAGGCCATCTTCAGGATTCCTCCTTCCTCTCTGGATTCTCCTTCGATCCCCCGTCACAAAGCCCCCACATCGCCCTGAGCATCTGTTTTGGAGAATCAAATTATGCATGGAGATATAATTCAAAAACCAGTGTCCCCCCCTCAGCATAACTCATGATTTATTGATGCTTTAGAGCCGACATTAATATTCACACTATGAATAAAACTAATCTAACACGGTTTATGATTGGTAGCCATTCTGATGTCTTCATTATCTGCCCAGCGGTTTGCAGGGAGGTTAATCTGACGCTCAGACATGTGGTGTTTGTACAGTATGGGCTCCTCTTGTTATGCCTAACCTTTTAAAAGGTTGCAGCGTTTCATCTGACATTTTAGAAACGGCTCATTTGCTTTTGCCGGCACGCCATAAGAGAAAGAAGACATTTGGGTTTTAGCTTAAAACCAGCAGGGAAATGATTTTTGCACTGGTTGAAAATAGATTTTATTGCCTGATCTAGTAGTTATTGTAGAAACTATTTTAGATTTGGAGCAGTTCTGATTTTTATTCATAATGTTTTCAGTTGAAGCGTTGCATGTCTGGTTTTTGATGCTGTGCAACTGGAAGAGTTTTTACTTTTACTCTTTTACTTTTCGGACTGTTGCGATGATGCGTAACCTTGGAAACAAGGTGTTGCTTTCACAACTGAGACTAGCTGATATGCAGAGAAGCAGGAGTTGCAACATTTCACTTTAATTTTTGACAAATAGGTGTTTTCAATTGAATTTAAATTAAAATGTATATATTTTTAACTTTGCCTGAACTTTTCTTTAAACCCAATCTTCAGTCTATATTATCAGGATTTCATCTGATACACCAGCAAAACCAGTAGATAACTAAAATGCCTGTACTTACTTACAGTTGTAATTGCAGCAAAAAATAGTTCTATAAAGTATATTTGAAGTATATTTTGTTTTTATTTCTAAAAAATCTTTCAAAGCCGTTTCTTTTTCTTTCATTTCACAAATATATGCAATTTTGCATCAGCCTATTAAATACAATCTCAATAAAACCCATTTATGTTTGTGGTTTTAATATGCAGAAATATGAAAAGATTCATTTGCACTGCAGAAATGCAAAATCTTACCAATAATTTTGTTTTGTTTCAAGTGCAAACATCTCAGCAAACTTGAAATAAGACAAAACTAACTCAGAAGTGACTTATCATTGATTAATAGAAGCTTGTTGTAAGTCAATAATTCCTTAATAATGATGAAAAAGTACGAGTTCCACTACCTGGTTATTTAACTTAAAACCAGACATTTTTCCCATGTTGTAATTTAAAGTAATCTACCAGTACAACTAGTACTTTTTTATTATTAATATTCAATAATTATTTACTTAAAACAAGGTCCCATATCTTGATGAAAAGTTACCTGTAACCTTCTAGAAGTAGAAACTGGACAAAAATATGTAATATGATTTTGTGCTTTTGCAGTGTAATGTGAATACTGTAAAAAAGCTGGAAAAAAGGACCATACATTTCCTCAACCAAATTATTTCTGTGATAAGACTTTGTGAGTCATGTTGCAGTTAAAACAGAGAAAACACATAAAATAATGATAGGAGTGACATTGCTGACGAGTATCATGAGAGAAAATGCATTTTAATTATAGATCAGAGATGTGAAGTGGGAGTAAAAGCAGCTTCGGCTGCAGTTTCACATTAATTATCGACAAACTTAGAAAGCCTCAAACACTTTAGAAAACTTCCATCAGTGAGTTCAAGCAAAGAAAGGTTCACAGAAGAATACAATTCCCATTCTTTTACAAAACAAACATGTGAAAAATTAGATTCATTAAGTTAAATTTGAGCAGAAAGGCATAAGTGCTCTGAAGTTCAGAGGCACATTTTAGGAAATCAATTCATTCATTCCAACCAGTAAAAGCCACAGATGAGAACTCCTTTGGAGAGAAAAAGCAATCAGAGAAACCGTTCATCTCTCGCTGGGTTGCATTAGGGAGGTTTTCCTTTTCTTTTTCCTGTTACCTGAAGTCTTCTCCTTCTCTGCTCTGCCAGAGCGCATCAAGACCTTCAACACAAGGGAACGGAGCAACAGTACCGGTCTGAATCCGATTCCTCTTGTTGCTAAAAAATTTACCAAAATGTGTGGAGACCTGCGCTACACTGCAAAAACACAGGATCTTAAGTTTTTTGGTGAAGTTTCTAGTGCAAATACTTGAAATAAGACAAAACTAACTTAGATGTAACCTTTCGGCAAGATGGAGGAGCTTTATTTAAGTAAATAATCCCTTAATATTGATGAAAAATGACTGGTTTCATTGGCAGATTATCTTACTTATAACATGGGAAAAATGTGTTGCTATAAGTGAAATAATCTGCTAGAACTTTTCCATCAATATTAAGCAATTATTAACTAAAAAAAGCTTTTTAACAGGTTGAACTCAGTTTCATTTTGGGCCAAATCAAAAATCTGAATGTTCTTAAAGGGCTGGTTGTTCCAGAATGTACTGATAAAATGAGTTAAACTGGTAAAAATATCAATAAATAGCCGTTTGTTTCAGAATTCAATAAGTTTCTTAAAATTAAGTAATACTGAGGATTGTTTTTGTTTTTTCTTTTGTAGTCAAAATCACAGATTTTGTGGCGCTAATTTAGAAATATTTGTAAGGAATTTTTATGATATGTGTCTTAATGTCTGATATTAAACGTTACGTTTTATTAATTGCTTATCGCTCATGGACTATAACTTGACATTGGCTGAGGCAGAGCTCACTTAAACTCCATGGTTATGGCCAATTTTGAGAAAAATTAGCAGTAAAAAATAGAAGAAAATGTGGGAATCTGTAGATTTTGTGTGAAGGTTGAGTGAGTTTTGCAGATTTGTTAAAAAACTGGAAGGACTTATTCATGCAATTTGGAGTGTAGAGGACCACATAAAAAGCAAAGGCGGGCCACATTTGGCCCCGGGCCCTTGAGTTTGGCACTGTGCCTTGCTGAAAAGTTAGTTTTGTGTTACTAAGACATTTACAGTAGAAACTGGACAAAACTACTTGGTAAGATTGTGTGTTTTTGCAGTACACCGATAATATGCACACTGTCAGGTGGGCGGAAACACACACATGCACACGCACACGCACACACACACACACACACACACACACACACACACACACACCTCCCGTAACCTTGGTCCGCCGCAGCATGCCTGGAATCAATCAGCATTGAGATATGGCCGCCGTCATGGCTGTGGCCAATTTTGGCATGCAAGGTTCCCCTTAATAGACAAAGAGATGAAGATCAATAGTCAATTTGGCCTTGGAATGAGGCTCCCAGGGATCAGGCAAAATTCATCTCTCAAAACTCTATTTTCTTCTTTTTTTATCCTGGAGAAGTCGTAAAAAAACAATGATGAATATTCAAAAACTGTACAGTAAAAAGGAGAACTGGCATTGGTGCCTAAAACATTTGGAAACATTAAAGAAAATCTTTTCTTCTTGACCTTCTGACTTTTGTTTTTAGTTTTAGTTTTTATGAGGGAACGCATTTTGAAATGCCTTGTTGTAAATTATTGTTCAAAAAAGCTATATACATATTTTTCAAAACTGGTGTGTTTTCATTAAGAGAATTCATTTGAGTAATTTCAATTTTCTTAACTTTACAGCTAATGAAAACACAGGTAATGTGAAATATATTTCTGACAATTAGGATTTGGATTTTAATAGGTGTGTTTTGCATCCACTGAAAACAAAGATGTTAACAAATAAACTGGACAGTATGCTGTACGTTTAGTGATATTTTCATTTGCGGTCTCGACTGGTCTTGAAATAAAATGCCGAGTCCTCAGAGCCCGAGTCCAAGACGAGACCGAGACCATCAAAAAATGGACCAAGACCAACTTCAAGTACCACAACACTGCCGCATGGTACAAAATGTGGGACAAAGTAGAGGCAAAAAATATGGTAGATTTAAATAAGCTTGATCATCTTTAAACTGGTTTCCTCTGGAAGTATTTCAAGAGAGAATAAAACTCATTAGTGATATTATTTCCCACCTGATTCAGAATCGGTCTACATTCACCGTTCTGAGTAGGTGAAGCTGCTTATGCTGGGTTATTACAGATAGTTGTTGGAGGTATTCTTGACATGACTGTAACTCTGTCCCTGATCCCCGTCGACCTCTCCACAGAACAAAGGAAGTGATTCAATAACGACGCGACACCTCGAGGCATGCAGGCAAACCAAGCAGCTTCAGAAGAGATCAGTCATTATGCCTCCTCTCCTTTATCTCCTGTCTGCCTTCCTCACTCTCCAGCCCTCTCCGTCGCTCTTCAGACAGGTATTCCTCTAGACAGCAGCAGAAAACACAGATAAATGATTCTCGTCTCCCCGAAGGTCGTCATGCTTTCAGTGTGACGGAGAACGTTCCTTTTGAATTAAACAGTTTCATTGATCCAGAGCAATTAGTGCAACACTGAGGGGATAAGTCGGCCCTCATAGCTGTATATTAAAGATCACTCCCTTTATAGCTGCAGAGAGATGTGTTTTATTCAGATGGTTGACATTTTTTTAGACTTATACATTAACTTAGCTAATTTCTCTGTAAAGCATTTTGGGTTTTAAACGTGCCACAGAAGCCAATCATGTTTATTTTTATAGAGCATTTCAGCAACAAGGCAGATCAAAGTGCTCATAAACACAGCATTTTGTCAACTACCATCATTAAAATCATCAAATATGTTGGCCAATATTCCAGTTATTATGAATAAAAACCAAATCTAAACTGGTGGATTTTTAGTCTTGATTTACAGCAGGAGTGTCAAACTCTTTCATTTTGGGCCGTATAAAAAAATCTAAATGTTCTTAAAGGGCCGGTTGAGCCAGAATGTATTGATAAAACCCATTAAGCTGTTAAAATATCAATTAATAGCTTTTTGTTTCAGCATTCAATAAGTGCTTCTTAAAATTAAGTAATATTTAACATATTTTCAGACTGATCAATCCATCCAGGATTGTTTTTGTGTTTTCAAAATCAAAGAGTTTGTGGCACTAATTTAAAAATATTACTAAAGAATCTTTAACATATTTGCATTAATGTGCGACATGAAATGTGACTTTATTTGCCTTATCAGTCCTGCACAATAACTCAAGAGAGGTTGAGACAGCAGCCACTTAAAGGCAGCAGTTTTATGAAAGTTTGTTCCAGATTTGTGGTGCACAGAAGCTGAATGCTGGTTTTCCATGTTTGGTTCTGGCTCTGGGGATGCAGAGCAGACCAGAACCAGAAGGCAACAACAGATCTTTAATGTATCGTGGTGCTAAGCCATTCAGTGATTTATAACCTAACAACAGTATTTTAAAGTCTATCCTCTGAGCTACAGGGAGCCACTGAAGGACTTTAGAACTGGGTGATGTGCTCTAACTTCCTGGTTTTATTCAGAACGCCAGCAGCACGTTCTGGATCAGCTGCAGCCGGAGGTTTGATTATTTAGGCAGACATGTGAAGACATAGTTGCAGTAATCAATGTGACTAAAGATAAACTCTTGGATGAGTTTCTACAGATCTTGTAAGGTCATTAGTCTTTTAATCCTGGAAATGTTCATCAGGTGATGGAAGGCCAACTTTGTTACCATCTTTAAGTGCCTCTGAACGTAAATAATCATCTAAAGCTGCAAAAATTATAGATCGCAGTAAAACAATGCTTACCTTTGTTTAGATTTTTTTCTTTTTCATTTGGCAGAATTTGTCATATTTTATTTATTACATCAAAAACCTGATGGAAACAATGATAAGAAGCCACTAAACTTTGCATGGTGGTTAGTTTCTGTTGTTAAGATCAAGAAGTTCCACCTTTCTGAGTCCTGCTGTCTGAAAAAAACCTCCAAATCCCAACGTCGTCCATCAAACGACGGTCTTCTCACGACTTGCATTTAGCAGAATTAACCATTACAATTCAGCCTGCTCTCCACTCCACCTTTGACATTCATCACTGTGTCGCGTTTTCAATTTCGAACCACATCATGATTGATTCCATCTGTAAAACCCGGATGACTTTTCCATCCCAGGCCAGGGGAACTGATTGATCGCCTTTTGCGACTGAATCAATGCGATATCATCTGGCAATAAAACAATTTGGGAAGATGTAGTGTGGCATTTAGATGCTTTCATGTCTGGTCATATTCAGGGGAAGAAAAATTGAAACTATTATTAAGCTTTTGAGCCATTAAAAAATATCTGAAATGACAAGCTGGGTTTCTGAGAGAGAGTTCATGCTGGGTTATGTTAGTGTGTTGCTCCTCCAGTTGAACCTGGTGACTTTGCAACGTGTGTATCCGTCACTGTTATCAATTTCATTAAAGCTTCTGCACAAATAAAAAAAACAATCTCACCTGGAAATACGAGTAAATTAATTTGTTTGTTAAATGAAACCTTGAAAGTATGCGCATCATGCAACCCTCCCCAAGCTAATATCATATAAATGTTAATTACATTATGTGCGGTGAGCTGGAGAAACAAATGTTTACAATACAGCAAATGCTCTCCAACCAGCATGGAAAAGGTCGCAGGGTGTTTCCCGACACAATTTCTTAGCTCGAACAGAAAAAAAAACATATTTACAGACGATGATCTACCGCATAAATCTTTATTAAACATCTTGCTGAGCGTTGCTCTAAATTATGTTGACTTTCCATCACTGTATTCCATGCAATTTGAAAATGCAAATGCTTTTGCAGTCTCACAGCTTGAGAGTGAACCGATCGCATAACGTGGTTCCCAAATGGAAATTAGATTTAGTGAAGTGAGTTAAACTCCTATAAACATGTAGATGTTACCATAGTCATTTTCTTTATGCACGTCCAAGACGATATCATCAGGGGCGGCAAAAATTACTTCTGTAATGGTACACCGCCGAAATCCAAACATAACTCACGTTTATAAGTCATGCTACGATGATTTTCCATTTATGCTGCATTCCAGTTGTACTGGGAAATTCAGAATTCCCAGTCAGACAAAATCAACCACAACACCCTCTGAAGTCGGATTTCCTGCTGGGAGACTGGGAGCAACTCCGACTACCCCCCAGTTAGGACTTTGTGTTTCAGCAGTGGAAACATGTTTATTTTCTAGTCACACATGTAAGAGTGTGTCTTAAATCAATGCTACATGTTCACTGGACAAACACAAACTCTATTTTTGGTCTAGTTTCTACTGCAAATACCTTAATACACTTGAAATAATACAAAAATAATCAATTTCAACAAGATAAAGGAGTTTGTTTTCAGGAAAAGTGTCATTAATATAAAGAACTAGATCTGCTGAGATTATTTCACTCGTATTCAAGCGATAAGTTATTAAACTTTAAGCATTAAAAAAAATCCTCCTCCTCCGTCTTTTTCTGACTTGGTCACATCTGGTTGTTCGTCACGATTTGTGTGATGCGACAAAAAAAAAAAGCAGTTTTTCCAAATAAATTAATTTTGATTAGGGATGCACTGATTTATAAATGCAGATTTCCTTAATTATAAGACATCGGCCGATTTTTACATGTGAAGCCGACCATATCCACCGATCTTATCTACTTTGGTAAAGATCTAAAAATCCTCTTCTGCTCCGCCAGGAGAGACGTTTGGCTGACAGACCGCCCCACACATTTACAGAGAACAGTCACACCTCTGATGCCAGTTCAGCAACTTTCTTGCTATTTTGAGCAATGTTTTAGACAAAATAAATGGTATGGGCCAAAACTGGAGTCGGCAGGTCAGGCTTTTGAATCAGTGATCGGCCAGAAAACTGCGATCAGTGCACCTCTAGTTTTGGTACAGCCGAAAAACCGCCTCATCGTAGTGCAACATTTTAAATAAAATTTTTTTATTTTTTTCAAAATTGATGCGTTTCCATTAGTCAGATTTATTCTTGTAATTCTAATTTGTACAATTATATAATCAGTGGAAACACAAATACTATTAAAAATTCCTAAACAGGTGAAAAAAAAGACTCAACTTTACTGTAAATACAAGTAGATATTTGGTTTAGCCATAAAATTTACTGTTGTGTGACAAAAAAAAAGCAAAACTACACAAACTTAAGAATTTTGAATAACAAAAGGACATTTTTGTTCAGTATTGAAGAGGTAGATTGATTTCTTTGGACTGCAGCTCCACATTAATCAATAACAGCAGAACAAACCTATAAATTCTGTTTCATTTTCACTAAGTAGTTGCTAACAAAGTGTCTTACTTTTTTAACCTCAGAGTTTCCAGTCTTAACAGATGAATAAACTGCAGCGCTTTAATAAGAAGTGAAAAGTTTCTCATGTAGGTTAAAAGGGAACAGCTGTGCCCAGTCATGCTAAGCGCCGGCGCTGTGGATTTTATTCAGCTGGCTAATTACTTATGGCACTGAAGTTGGCCCTTGTTAACCTTTAACCATTACCTTTTACTCAGGATAATTGGAGTGCTTTAAATCAGCCATCTGTTGCTGCCAGTTCACCTTTGCAGAGTCTAAGTGACATATTGAAATCATTCAAGGGCATCAAGCAAGGCCGCTAATCAGAACGCAGAAAAAATATAAAGTCCTTTACCATCCAGCTGGAAACACATTTATGAGACGGACTTCTGCAAGTTTGTTCATCTCACTTTTTTAATTTCATGTTGGAAAACTAAACTTTTTAAAGGGGAGGTTTAAGCATAAAAATACTTAATTATTTAAGTAGCAATTTCAGTAAAAGTCCCCTTGAAATTGGTGATTTTACTTGGTTTGGTTATGGCAACACAGTAAACAAACAACATCCTGCAGATGCTTTAAAATCTTCAAAAACCAACATTTATATTCAGCCATTAAAATTACATTAGGAAGCAAATGGATTTGGTTTTTCATGTAGCATATTTTAAAGACTTAACTTTGCATTTTCAGCCAGAAGCCATAAACTTAAACTCATTTTATTAATTTTTTAAATTCTGTTTACAGTGTGACGGTTATTTGTTGCATAATTTCAGGGTTTTATTATTATAAAATGAAAAAAATCAATGAAACCGGACAGATTTAAATACAGGACACGATAGTTTTATTCACCAATAAGAACACAAAGTTATCTACAAGGACAACGACTCCAGCAGCCTCACAACAGTTAGAGTAATAATGAAAACTGAAAATACAAAGTTACAGTAAACATGCCGTTTGATAAAAATATCTTTACAAAAAAATGTACATTTCTATACAACAGTTGTCACTTACACGTCTCTACAAGTCCCACAATACTGGAGCGAGCCAGTTTTCAACAAACTGTCAGCACAGCGTCACTTTGCTACTAGTCGTTATCGGCTGAAATAAACATGGAAGGGATTAATTACAGCGAACGAGCCAGAAACGCTCCAAAGTGACCCAGATAAACGATGACAGATGAAAGAAAGGAGTGTTTCCTTTTTTTAATTTTTTACTTTTCTTTGTGTGATTATTTTTATTTGCAAAAGATGTGACGCATCACCGTACTGCTTAATAATAAAACAAAACAGAGAAAACATGAGCCAGATCTCTCTCAGTAAATGTGTCCTGGATACAAAAATAGTGCTAAATATTACACTTTATCATTATTAAACAGACACCGACTTTGAATGAGCTGAAGGCAGTTTCTGATTTTTTAAGCGGTTTTTTGGCAGCACCTGATGGGTTTGTTTATGAAAGTGAGAGAAGTGAGCTTTTCTTCACATTCTGCTTTAAAGTTTAAACATCTGCTTCTCTTATTTTCAGTGGTCAAAAAAAAAATCAATTTTAATCTCATTTTAAGAAGAGAAATTTGTATTTTACTTAAGAATGCAACATAATTTAACCTGTATTTCTGTTAGTTTTGATAATTTTGTCTTATAGCTAATGAAAAATCTTGAAATTTAATTTGTTTACAGCAAATTAAATTTGCTGTAAACAAATTTAATTGTTTACAGCAATTAAATTGCTGTAAACAGCCCAAACTGTAAACTAGTTTGGGCTGGTATCGCAGGATACGCAGGATACCAGCCCAAACTCGAGGGCTGGTATCCTGCGAGATTCGGCTCTTTCTCTGGTTCAACACCTGAATCAGATGATGCTTTAGTAGCAGATCTTCTGCAGAACTTCGACATTTGAATCGGCTTTGTTGGAGTGAAAATACATCTAAAACTGGCAAAACATCGGCGCTTAAAACCTGAAGTTGGACACCCAAAGTAAGACAGGCAGGCCACAAAATGTAGTTTCTAAAGAAGCTGGGAAGTTTAGCAAAAGGAAAAAATGTGGCAGAAGTAACAGGGAAAAAAGCATCTTTGAGGATTTTGAAGCAAGTTCTGCAGTCTAAGAGAGATCATTTTATTTTTCTGGTAAAACTGACTTTTTGATTTTATTAGTTCTCTGGAGCCACATTTGCATTTGGTCCAGCTCAGCTAAATTTATTTAGAGCTGCATGACTCTGAAACAAAATGGCGTTTTTAATCGTATCTGCACTAACACACCTGAATCAAACGACAGAAAGTGGTTATAATTCATCTTACTTAAGGTTCGTTATATTAAAATGGGCTGAATATATTTAAATGTTTTAGAACCAAGTTTTATTGTGCTGATCTGTCAAGTTAAATCCCAATAAAATACGCTAGACTTACAATGGAGTATTGGGGCATTACTAAGAAAAATATAAATAAATATGAGAGTAAAGTCACACATTTATGGGAATAAACTCACATGAGAATAAAGTCGTAATATTACTATTCTCGTAACACTACGACTTTAATCTTGTTTATTTCCATAATTTTATGACTTTTATTTTCCTAACATAAATTTTTTTATTTTCTTAGTTTGGCCCTTATTCTCTGTTGTAGAAACTTAATAAAAAACAAACCCTCGATCATTTTGAAAGCTCCTGCTTCGCTCTCTCGCCTGGATGAGATGCTGTGAATCAGTGCAGAATGACGGCGATGGAGCAGGAGAACAGCAGCAGTGCATGTTGGGATGCACGGGGCCGAGCGGGGCCCTGCTTCCCCATCAGGAGGTCCCTGCCAGGGTTGGCTCGCTCCGCCACAGGAAGCCCTCGCTGCTTCTGAAACTTGGCAGGAGTGGAGATGCACGGTGGAACAGCCCCACAGGGACGCTTGTGTGATAAATGGATAAAGCTGGACGGCGTTTTGCTCACAGCTATTGGCTTATGCATGAGTCCAAATCCAAAAGCAGACGGCGGCGGCGTCTCATTTATTTTCTGAGTGCCACTCTGCGACCGGAGATTGTCCTTACCTTCACTTATTCATTTGATGTTTGAGAAATAAAAACGCCTAAAGAAAGGAGTAGTAAGATTACAGCGCAAGCACATTTCATAAAAGCATCAACAAATATTTATAAATCTTCCTGTTTCCTTTCGTGCTTTTGTGTGATAAGCTGCTTTTTGAAGTAAACTCCAGGACAAAAACGTTAAAACAGGTCTTGGGTAAATTTTACTTTAACAGTTTGTGCTGCAAACACGACTTGGCATCTCCAAAACACAATTTACAGTCCCCGAATCCTCATGTTTCACAAACTCCTTTTTATTCTGCCTCTCGAAGGTGATGATGATATCTAAAACCTACAACCAGGAGAGCTTGCTTCTTCGCCCTGCAGAGGGAAAGAAGAAACATGGTGACCATTTCTCCTGCAAACCTACATGCTCACTGTTTGTTTACGCGGCGTAAATCCGAGGCGGATTAGGGAGAAATGTTAAAGCTTCCCGGTTATAAATAGACTTAAAAATACAGAAACAGCTTCCCTGGCCTGCAAGTGAAACCATCCATGCATTCTGCCCAAACTCAAGAGGGATTTTTCAGTTTTTAAATACATGTCATGCAAAGAGGCTTTCTGAAGTGAACTCTGACAAAAAAATGGAAAGTCCAAGTGTTATGTGATTTCTTTAGAGCTGGATAAAAGTGGGTCAAGCAGCTGCCAGAAGCAGCTCTGGGGTGAATATAATTTTACTGCAAACAGAAGAAAAGATCCACCTTTTGTTTTTAAACATTTTGCCTTAAAGTTGTGCCAGTATGTATTGATAAAACCCATTAAAAAGTTGTTAAAATGTTAACTAGCTTCGATACATATGCTGCAGGGTTTCACAATTATTTTTGTGGTTTTTATAAAAATCTAAATCGCTGATTTCGTGGAGCCACTAGAAATATCTGCGAGGAAGTTTGAGATATTTGCTCTTCCGTAAGACAGTAAATGTGACTTTTTGTTACTCGCCGTATCGATTACAACTTGACTTCAAGTAAGACAGGAATGAGTAAAATTAAATAAATGGTGAGAAACCAAATGTTTCTCACCATTTTTGGGAAAAATTTTACGCCTTAGTGTGAAAAACGGAACTAATGCAATTTTTTGCAGACCCAATTGCACTAAAATTGAATCTGTAAATTTCCACGGTTGCAAAATTGTGAAAAACTGGATGAATTGATTGACGTAATTTGGTGTCTTGAGTTTGACACACGTGAGCTTTAGACGCAAAACTTTTTCTATTTTTGGGGGAGGAATGTTTAAAAGTAATTTTGTTCTCCATTACAAACAAATACTTTGAGTTTTGTGAACGCTACTTGGAATTAACTGGAACAATGAATATATTGATAAATATGTGGAAAAGTACCTCATTCTTATTGTTATGTATAGGAGAGGATGTGTGATGCTGTGGGTCTAAATCTGCCCAACTCTAAGTAGAAAACTAAAACTGTTTTTTCTAATAGGATACCAATAAATAACACAAAACGGTTTACCAGACTTAAAATTAAATATAAAAATGCTGCCCAATTGGTAAAAAAGCAAAATTTACTCATTTTAAAGATTAGATACTCTCACCGTACTAAAATATTTAATAATTTTAAGGGTTTTGACACATCTGTGCGCATAATAGTAGTCAAACTACAATACGCACAGTATGACAGTCTTCTGTTTGAAAAGGAGAATTGGAGAAAATAACCAGCCAACGCATAAACTCTCCTGCATTATGCAAGCGAACATGAGAAGAGTGTCTGCCTTTCAACATGACAGCCGTCCAAAGCGCAGAGCCGCGCTGACAGCAGCCCTGGAGAATAAGAGAGGCTGAACGTCCCCGTACGTCTGCTTCAGTCCTACATCCATGTGAGGATGGGAATCAGATGCAAACTAGACCTTTTTTCCCCTCATGAGGAGCAAATATTGGAGGAGAAACTGAAGGCTGCAATTGAAGCTAAATTATTTTTTATAAACTGTTAATAGAAACGGAAAAACTCCTTTCTCTTTAAGGACAATGAAGGGACAATTTGATAAAAAGGTGAAGCTTTTTTCTGTGTAATACGAAGCAGGTTGTTTGAATGCGAATATATTTCTATACTGCAAAAACTCAAAATCTTACCACGTATTTCGGTCTAGTTTCTAGTGCAAATATCTTGGTACTCTTCAAATAAGACAAAACTTACCTACGATTAGATTTTTAGTAAGAAACAGGCTTGTTTAAAGTAAATAATTCCTTAATATTGATGAGAAATTACTCGCTCCATTGGCAGATATTTTCCCCGTGGGATAAGTCAATTTATCTGCAAGTTATTTTTCATCAACATTAAGGAATTATTGACTTAAAACAAACCTCTATATCTTACTGAAAAGTTACTTTTAAGTTAGTTTGCCTTATATCAAATGTATTAAGATATCTGCAGACCAAAAATACTCAGTAAGATTTTGAGTTTTTGAGAAAAATTTACAACAAAGTCCCAATTATGAAGTGCAGTCTTGTTGATTTTGCGTGAATTTCCACGATAATTCGCAAGAAACTGGAGGGATGGATTGATATAATTTGGCAGTAAGATAAAAACTCCATTGATTTGATTGATAAAATAATATTTAAGTACACTTAGTGTTTAGTCTGAAAAATAATCTCTTAGTGTAGAACTTAGAGGGCCACATAAAAGGCTGTGATGGGCCGTATTTGGCCCACGGGCCTCGAGTTTGTTCTGTTGCATATATGAACTGCATTGAATAAAATCCACTGATGTGTTTTGAATGTGACAAAATTAAAACGTTTGAGTGTTTGGATCATTATCCACACCATGCAGGCCATGATGCTCTTTACTTTAGGCCCAGCCATTCCCCCCCCCCCCCCAACCTCACAATTCAATTACATGAATGTTGTTTATCGGCTGTTCTGCCCCATTGAAATGCCATTAATGCTCCCTCTGCTGAACTCCATATTAGCTGCCCTTCAGCAAAGCCGGTTCTTTAAATGTCATGGAGCTTATGACTTCTGAGATGATTAACGAATGTTTAGAAATGCTCCACACACAGTTCAGTGGCTACGTTTCAATCAGGTCCGTCTGCAAGTCTTTTTAACGAGGAGTTTTGTTGGACAACCGCATGCTGTGACGGTCATAATGCAGACTTTTAAGTCCAGAGCTCTTACCTTTTCTCAGTTGTCGATGTCCGATACGTGGTTCTCTATCTGAAAGGCAGAAGATGCAGAAAAAAGGACTGAGCGCGCTCGTTGTACTTTCAGTTTCTCTAAAGGTCACGGCTGATATAAGCTCAACTGGAGCAGCCACTTACAAAGCAGTCTTTGTGATACATTATCATAAATTGTAATCAAGAAACCTTCAGGGAGCAAAATTGCTTTAATATGTTGCTGAAAAATAATCTCAAACAGGAAGGTAGGGGAAGCTTTTATGAAGAAAAGCCCAGCTTTGTTTACTGGGTTTATACTCGGTAAATGTAAAAGAATAAAAAAAAAAAAAATTTAGTACTGTGATTACACAGATACTGAAGATTTACCCTTCGAACAGCAAAAATAATAGGTAGAAACATGGCTGACAAAAACGCTAAAGCTAAGTTCACACAGCAGATGTTAACACTCAATTTTCATTTTTTTGTTTTGCTGAAAAGCATGCATAAGAAGAGAAGTAATAAATAATTTACAGGAATACTGTTAAACACTAAAGGTTTTTTAAACGCTCCGGCTTCAGAGCTCTCTTAATAATTTCCAAAACATAATTTCAAGCCACAAGGGCATCGATTTGTGCAAAACATATTAAAAAAATACCAGAATTAAATTTTGCTTGTAAAGCATCAGCGACCTCCACCTTTTTAAATCTGCAGAAAACATGTAATACTTATAAAAGAAGAAAAAAACAAACCAATCTAGAGAACCTGCAGGTTTATCTTTGGTTAGAAAAACCACATGCAGATGAAAATAGGCTTCTAGTTGCAGTTTGCCTTTGGAATCAATGTTGACAAATGAGCGCTGGGAGCGCGGGCTCAGTGGGATCAAATGGTTCAGTGGATTCAATCGATACCAGCTTTGAGAGAACAATCACATTAGAGGGAAGACTGATGAGACCCGCTTCTTCTCTGAAGTTATTGATTGATTTAATTTTCTGTTTTCTACAATGTGGGATTCAAACTGTTTTTCTTTATTTGTAATGGAAAGCAGTAAAACACAATGTAATAACACCAACCTGGTCAAGAATTTAGAGTTTGTGGCCCAAATTTATCATGACATTCTGTTTGAAGGTTACCGACTTAAAGCTGCAGTATGCAACTTTTTCTTTTACATATTTGTTAGAACCGTTACCGTGACGAAATAGTTTGTTATGAGACAGATAATCTGTGAGAAGCTCAATCTCCCCCATCTCCACCCTGAAAACGACCAATCAGAGCCAGGAGGCGGGTCTTAACCTGTCAATCAACCCCATGTACGTACTGCTCAGGAAAATCAACTTACTGTTTCAGGAAAACCATAATTGCTAGCTATGCTAACTAGCCTAGCATACACAATAGGATCTGAAAACTGTAGCAGAGAGCACAGACGGGGAGGTGGAAGGAGATTGTGATTGACAGCGCTAAGACCCGCCTCCGGGCTGTGATTGGTTGGTTTTAGTCGGCCTCGAGGATACAGATACCATATACCATATGGTCACAACATTTTGACCGGTTCAACAAATATGTAAAAAAAAAAAAAGTTTTTTTTTTTCATTATAAAAGTTACATCAGTTTTAAAAATTATTTTTGACTTTTCTTTCTTACACTGGTTTAAACCCAATAACTCCTGAAACAAGCATTCTGAGAATCTAATCTTTTCAAGTCTGAACAGAAATCTCTTTCTGGCTTTCCTTCAGTGACCTTGTTGAAGAAAGAATAATCTGCTGCTCTACATCCACCACTTCACCGTAAATGTAGGGAATGCATTTGTGAAGCCTCCTGCTCCTACTGCATCGTATAAGTGTGCAATGCGGGCCTCTGAAGAGCCTTTCTTCCATGGTTTCAGCCAGGGCAGACTGGAATAGAGTGTCATTTGCTCATGCGAAGCCCTGATCTGTCAGAAATGTGCTCATGAATAATTCTGGAAGATTAGCTTTCGGTCGGTGAAGGCTGTGCCGAGTTGAGATCTCCCAAAGTGCGTCAGCCCTGTCAACCTTTTTCCACTCACCAGATGGTGGCTGCCCTCCTCATCGTAGTCGTCCTCCCCTCCATCGGTCATCTCGCCCGCCTCCACGTCCAGCGCCCCCTCGCCTGCCTCCTCCCCAGAGTTTTCTGCCGTCTCCGACACAGACTCCTCGTGCAGGGAGTCGCAGTTGTCTTCGTATTTTCGTTGAGCCTCTGAAATGGAGCAGGGCACAGAAAATGAGAACCGACTGGACTTTTCTTTCATTCAGAAGGCAACAAGCACTTAGCCTAAACAGGTAACCAGGTTAAACCTGAACTAATAAGTCACTTCGAATAGTATTTATATTAATAAACCGTTCACATTAATGAAATGTTGAATTAGTTCAGAGCACTGTTGATGAGATCTCCAAATTATTGTGAAAGGTTTAGGGAAAAATATGCTATAATAAAAATCAACAAGCAAATTTAGCATTGCACTCTTAGGGTGTCTTCACCCCTGTCCAGTAGACTCGCTTCGATTAGGGACCAAAATATGCACCATTTTTTACATTTTCACACCTTTGAAAAACATGTTCCCCTCCTTGCCTGTGGGGGGCGCTGCACCAAGAACCACTAAAGGAAACCACATAGAAATCTCAGAAGACATTAAGCTCAACTTCCTTCTTCACAAAATATAAACAGAAATGGAGTGCAAGATTTTAGCAGTTTTATGATTTCTCTTTTGCCTTTAGTAAAAAACAAAACAAAGAAAAACAGGAGCCATTTCTCCAATTAGTGTTAAACACACAGGTTTGCTTTGGTTGTATTTACCCAGAATGCCCTGCAGTATAATCCACTTCCTGCTTTTGGAGACGTCTCCAATCCGCTTTACATTTACATTTTCATCCAAACCAAGAACCAGGTTCACTTGTTTGGTCTGGATTACGCATTCACACCTCCCCAAACAAACCAAACTCTTTATTGCAAGCAAACTGAACAGGGTTGGTGTGAATGCACCCTCAGACTTTCCTCCACTATGTGTTCTATGTGTTTTTAATTTTGGTTTGATGGTTTTGAAAGACAAGGTTTGTCCATTTTAACTGTGAAAAAATGTTAAACATGATGCAAGGATCCTAAACTAGATTAAAGCTATTTTAATTTGAAAAACGTTTATTATTCACAGGTCTGGAATAATTAAAGCCTGCAATAAATGTCTTGTAGGAACACAACCACAGTCAATCCATAATCAACACTCTGAGGGAAGTTGTTATTACTTTAATCTGGTCATAAACGGTGTAAAATCTATTTACGTTACCGGCTAAAAACTTTTAAGAAGGCATTAACGATAGAAATATTTCTATCTGTATTTGTGGAGACATTGGGAGGCGACATCTGTGCTTTCCACTGAGTTCAGGGGATTTTAGCAACACAATTTAATGCAAATTATTAGTTTGTAAATGATGTTCTTACGACAAAAACACAGAACTCTGGCTCTGTAATTTAAAGTTAATTGAAAACATAAATTGCAGAGTAGAACCTGGGAGATGAATGAAATAAAAATAATTAATTTGTAGCCAGAAAATGACTGGACTGCTTCTGGACTGTTTTTAGAAGCAGTAGAGACCCAAATGGAAGCACAAAAATGTGCAGAAAATGAATTTTGCATAAGAAGCTATTAGTTTCTGTAATTTAGAAACTTTTTTGCCAATAGCATTAGCAAATATAAATGTTTTTCACTTTAGTCAAACTGTAGCCAAGTGGGTACACTAACTATTGCTGATATGTTCCTGTTGTTTTTAAGTTTGTAGATTAAAATACAGTATAATAATAAATGGCAATAAATGTGTTCAGTTTTAAAAACTGAAATAAATTTGCCTGTGATGATTTACAGTATTTTCTAGCATCCAGACAGAGTCTGGTTGAATCGCCTAACGTGGAGGCGTCTGAACACCACATAATTAGCATAAATTAAATTACAAAAACTAAACACAGTGAAAAAGTGACCTACATTGTAGTACAGTGGATCCCCATCTATTAATGCTTCACCTTTCGCAGATTCAACTATTGGTAGATTTTTTTTTTTGGAACATAATTTCAAATAATTTGAGATAAATTTGCCCATTTGTGGATGTTTTAGTATAGAATGCTGCTTGGGAAGCTGAAACATCAGGCGCAATGCTACTCGACATGCTATTGGCTGCTGTTTACAAACCAGCCAATCCAGGAGTGCCACTTATTTTCATTCATGCTGATTGGCTGAACCCCCAAGAGAGGGAAAAAGGAAGCTAGCGCTAGAGCTAACACAGTTTCCACTGTGCGTATTAATGCACGTATGGAATAAGGAGTATTTTCAGATTCCAGATATTCATGGATGGTTGTTGTCCCTAACCCACTGTGTAGCAACTGAGTAATCTGGAATGAAACATTCACTGTTTCTCAAAGTCTAAATGAGCCTGTGTTTGCTTCAGCTCATTTATAAAGACCCTCTGTTGGTTTTATCTACCTGCTCAGCCTGTGTGCGTCTGGGTGGTCGTGTCTCGCCCCTTGTTAGTCTTTTTGTTTACCCGTGTTCGACCAACCCGACCAATCAATGTGGCTGCTCCTCTTTCCCCTGAGCCAATGCTCCTCGACTCCTGCAATCACATGGACTGGGAGTGTTTGAGCTCCTTGCAAATTGTTTTCTCAGCCTCTGCATTTCCATATCCTGCATATGGATCCTCCGTCTACTTCACCAGGGCAGCTTAATAGTCTTTTTTCCAGTGATATACAGCTGCCATGGATATAAATATAAGGCTACAGCTAAAGATTATTTTAGTATTCCACTGGGTATCGATTATTCTGTTGATTAGGTGAGTAATTGGATGAAATAAATTGGCACATTCTGCAGATTTTCTAACCACTTACCATCATTTCATACAATATTACAAATACTTATGAATTGCAACTAATTAAACTCCTTCCCTTCTTTTAAATAAAAGGTAACATTTTCTCCCCTAATATTCAATAACAGTATTCCTCTGGTGTACACTTGATAATTTTTAACAAAAGATGCATCTGCAGCTAAAAAACAAATACTTCTAACATCGACATATGAAGAGCTCAGCGCTTTTCTGCTCGACTTAACATCAGTACAGCATCAGGCTGATCTGTTGACCATTTCTTTTATTAATAATTTGATAGCAAAAGGTGCTTAATAAACTGAGTGAAGCATATAACAAAACATAATTACAGAAAAATATGTTTTTTTTTTCTTAAATTCAAAATATATGCATTTTTTCTACAGTTTTTTTCTTAATCACTGCTCTGCTGTAGGGCTAAACAATAACTTAAAAATAATATGTATCATAATAGACATATGATCAATACCAGTAGATAATACGTTTGATATTTAATCGATTCAGTATTCACTGAACTCCGATCCAGAACCGCACGGCATTCTGGGATACGTAGGAAGACGAAAGACTTTAGCTGCTCAGCCTCTCACAACTAGCAAAGCAGGCATCAACTGTCTCACTTGCTCTTTGGTCGCCTAGCAACTCACTCATTCTACGGTTACCTAGCAACAACTTGCTGAGCAACTGGCCAGCAGCAGTCTAAGGTTCCGCTATTGCTCCTAATAACTTCTTAAAAATAAAAAAACAACAGCGAGGAGTGAAAACTGGATAAAACAGGAGAGGTCACACCACCCATTTGATAGCATTTCAAATATTTAAAACAAAAAAACTAATCAATAGTTATTGATAGACTGATATAAAATGAAATGCTTATATTTTGATATGATTTTCAGCCCTTTTTAGAGACTGTAAACTCAAGATAAAGATTTATCGACTACTAAATTAGTTGGTGAAATCTGAAGCCCTATGAGAATATGTGAGGAACTAACATGAAATAAGCAATACCCTGGGTGGAAAATCAGGTGACATGGCCTTTTCATTGCGTTTCCTGAATAACCTTCACAGTGATCTGCTGAGGTTGTCCCACAGTGCAGGACATCTATAAAGACCTCATTTAAACAGAGTCAGCGTGGGGCTGACATCTGTCTGCTGATATGACAGAGAGCTCTGCCGCTCTTATCTCCCAACATGTCAAAAAGACTTATGGCCAACGTGAGCGTTTTAATTTCCGTTTCCGTAACCGCTCGCCGCGCTCCGGTCTCCTCCCTCCCTTCGCCCCGTGTCTGCCGCTCACCGGATTCTGTCCTCTGCTGCTTCTCAATCTTCTCCAGGCGTCCCAGTAAAGAGTCGATCTTCATTTTGATCTGGGTGAGCTCTCGTTTAATGGTCTGGAGCTGGTCCGTCTTCACTGTAAGCACAAGAAGGAGCACAAACGGTTACCTCAGGTAGCCCTAACTGGCTGGTTCTGGTTCTGCAGTAATTTAATTTTACTGTTTGATGTTTCTCATTAATCCCCTCATCACGCCGAGTCAAATCTTCCACGGGGAAAGAGCGTCTCAATCAGAACTTTACTGACAGGTTATCCAGCTAAGACTGAAGACGTGCTGCTTTTCAATTTAAAGATTAGTGCGCAGCTTACGCCCACCGTGCTGTGCAACGCTCCTTCATGTTTCCCCCCAAGCAGCGCCAGCATCTGAAAAAAAAACGGTGTTACAGTATGACATCGCAGACTCCGAAGCATGTATAATGTGGCTAAGGTCTTAGAAGCAAGTACCTACAGTTGAAACTAGATATAATACTATTTTAGTAAGAAATAGGAGCTTGTTTTAAGTAAGTAATTCCTTAATATTGACAGAACAGTGCGAGTTACATTGGCAGATTATTTCACTTATAACAAGACATTTTCCCACATTATAAGTTAAATAATCTGCCAGTGAAACAAATACTTTATCAATTTTAAGGAATTATTTACTTAAAAGAAACTCCTATATCTTGCTGAAAATTACTTGTAAGTTTTGTCTTTGCACCAGAAATTAGACTAAAATTACTTGGTAAGATTTTGGGTTTTTGCAGTGTATTACTTGGTTTATTAATTTTAGAAATTGTGGAGTACTCATTATTTTGCTTTATACTTTTAATATTGGAGAACCCCATCTTAAAAATCTAAACTATCCTTTATTATTACTGGATTATGTTCATTAATCCAAACCCGTCAACTGTAAAATTAAAATGAGATGATTACACCTTAGGAAATAAATCATTTTATTAGTTAAAATGCCTTTAAACAAACCATATATTTAGATATGTATGTTTATATTTTTACATAGGTCAGTGTTGAACGCTGCAGCATAATTTTACTCCCTCAGCCTACAGCGTCTGTTTACAGACTTTTAAGTAATTTGCGCTTTAGGTCTCAAGCTGTCTCTCAACAACGCACAGAGGATTTAAGTTGAGGGGCTGAAGCATAAGTGGATCATGTCAGAGTTTGAGACTTAACCTTGATATGTCATAAGGAAATAGGAAATAGCAGCTGAAAATAAAAGCACTTATCAGAGGAGCTGCCGCAATAAATTCAGACAGCTGAAACGAGGACGTGCTCGAGCTGAGCAGATTAAGGAACTCAGACCACGAGGTAATAACATAATCTTATTTCTCAACCCTCGGTGGATGAAGTGTGTCATATCTGAAGAGGCGGGCGGAAATACAGATGCTAAAAGTTGAGAAGAAAACAGAAAATTCGGCTTGACACCTATCAGATTCAATCTATAAACAAACCCACAAGTTCCTGCAAACCAGACGAAGGAAACGCGTAGGAAATAAAACAGAAACACACTAGTTTGTTATCAGGAAAGCGTGATCCTTTGATGTATGTGTATATGTACACCCACTCATCACAACATAGAGAAATCATGAATGAAACATAACTGTCTAAAAATAAAAAAAACAAAACGAATTCCCTGAGTGAGCTGCATGCCTCCTGAAGCACATTTTAATCTTTCATCGGTTTTCATACTGAAACACAACAAAACAGCTGTCCCAGCAGGACCCAGTCCCCTCTGCTACACGTCCGTCAATGCAGGATGTTTTTTAGATGAAGCTGGAAGATTAATACGTCCATGCAAAACAGAAAGAAAGCCCAGCAAATACGGCTGCACTGATTAGAATCCAAAGGTAATATGTAATAGGAAACACAGGAGCTGTTCTCATATTGTTTTCTAAAGCTGCTACTTATTCTTGATAAAATAAAAAAAGGGCAAAGACAGCAGATATATAATCATATCTAAGGCGGGGGGGATGGTAATGTGTTTCTATCTCCTGTATCGCCTACAAAACGGTATCTGTGAATACACTCTCTTTCCAAGTCCAGCGATATTCCGGCAATATTTCCGCCGGCTCTGGGAAGCTCACTGGGAGTGCTTTGATGATAAGACAGAGTGGAACAGTTTTTAATTTATCTGGACCTCCAGGCCCCTTTCCTTTTGTGTTATCAACTGCTAAGCTGCTGAGAGGAAACGTATACACTCGTATCTAGCAGATGATTCATCAACTGCATCTTAGATAGCTGCGCTTTCAGGGGAAGGGTACGGAAAAATCTGTTGTTATTTGGGAAGCTTCAGGGAAGCTTCAGGGGATGAGCAATTGGTCTAATTTTAGGCATTTTATGACCTCATTATGACAAACAAATATTCTATTTGAGGAATATTCAGTAAATCCTGCAAAACCGCACAAGAATACAATACTGAGTGACTTTTAAAGCTACAAGATGGTAATCAGTGTTACACAAATTAATTGCACATTAGTAAAGTTTAACCACACGATTGTAAGTCCACACTAGCGCTTTCTTAAATTATTCATGTCAGCTTTCCAGCAAAAATCCTGACCTGACTTTTTCATTATTTCAAATCCTCCAGACTTTATATAATATTTCCATTATTGCTTCACTTCCTTACAATAAAACTACCAGAACACGAAGCCTGAAAAGATCAGAAAGTTCTGCTTTGATTGAGAAGATCAAGAAAACAGACCTGAATAAAACTTTTTGCATTGAAAACTAAGAATGATCAGCGATAAAGTGACTCATTACCTAAATGAACCACATAAGGCAACCAAGGTCAAACACAGGCAGGCTTATGTTACAGAACACGACGCATCAGAATGCAGATAAAATCTTGGTCTTTTGTGGAGTTTGAATCCAATCCAAGTGCATGAGAGCTCATGCTTTCTTCAAGTCCAAAAATATGCATTTAACTTTAAAATAGAAGTGTGTGTGTGTGTGTGTGTGTGTGGATGGTGGTCTTGTCACGGACCAGCAACCGGTGAGATGGAGAACAGGCACAAGGGGAGGACCGTACATAAATACACTCATAGGCGCAATTTACAAAGACAAATTAACCTTATAAATTATTATTATCGCTAGAAAAACATAAACTTAGTTACTCAAGAGTAGCTTCTTAAAATACATGAATTAAAATATAAAGTGAGTCTTTTTGAATGTTATTTGAAAGGAACTGATCAAAAGGAACACAAAACTCCACACCAAGTGCAGAGAACTTATATTTTTTATGATAAATTTCACATCTTAAGATTTTGATTCATCATTGTCTCAATAAATTCCAATTGTTGATGTTTAAAAAACCCTAAAACGGTGTGTAATAAAATTATTTTTCCTTCTTTGCTTCCACTGTTCAATAAAGGTATATCAATACAGGAAGTCACTGTATGTATTGTAATAACACAATTAACATTTCACATTTTAATAACACAATTCACAATACTTCTTATTGTCGTTTTTTCGCAATAGTACAACAAAATACTGTGATAAAACGTTTACTTCAGAGTGGTTAATAGATTATTCCTTTATTTGGGAGATTTGGCCTGGCTTCCTGCAGTGGAAATGCACCTAAAGCACAAATATAGTTGAACAGATATTATTTTGTTTATTTATTATTTTCTATTTGATTTGTTTTCCTAAGGTGAGTTATTAATTACAGGTTAACCTGCCAGCAGATGGATTATATATCCAAAATGTATTCTATCTTAGGAAAAGTCAATGCAAACCAGGACTTTTTATGGAAAATTAGTCTCCCCAATATACAGAAGCTCAGCTTAGAAACAGCAGAGAATTTATTGACTTTTTCCCCCAAAAAAGAGGACAGGAGATTGGCTTTTTTCCCCCATCGTGGCTGTAATAGCAGCTGCAGCAGAGTCCTCCTGACAGAACTCACCAAGCTGCTAACGCTGATAACACCGGCCGAGACTGCCAACTGTGAAACAAACAATTACACTAGATAGATAGAGACTAATGTTTGGGAAAGCACAGCTGACCCACAGAGATGTTCTCAACCTCGCTTTAATTACACCTAGCATGTTTTAATGCCTATCGAGTTAATTAGGGGAGCAAATTAGATCCAGATGTGTGCAGTCTGGCTGGAAAGACGACGAGAGTCGGCTCTGCGTTTTGCTTCAGCTTGTCCTGAACTGCAGGAGCACAGCTTGCAAAAATCGTGAGCATAATTGGTGCAAAAAAGAGGAGTAGAAAAGTCTCGTTGTACGTACATTTGACACCTGAGGAGGAGGATGATGTTGGAGGTCTGGAGGATGAAGAGGAAGAAGAGGAGGATGTTTTGACAGGGAAGGAAGTCTTCCCACGGCGAGAGGAAGGAGCGAGGACCCTGGAGCGTTTCAGGGGGATCACAGCTCTGGGTGGGGGGGCCACTCTGCCGTGGTAATCAAAAAGCCTTGAGAGAAAGAAAAACCTGTATTATCACACTTATACTTTTTCTGTAAATCACAAGAGGCTCCATCACGTTGATATCTGCCCATTTATTAGAGCTAAAAAGAGTTTCTATGGTTTATCTCACATCAGCCTTTTTTAAAGTCGACTCTCTCTTTTTCCCAGTATTGTATTTCAAGATAGATTTACTCTCGGCTCTGTTTTTCAGACGGCAAAGGGAAACAAAGGGAAGAAATTACCGATTAAATCTATCAATATCTTCCGTTTTTTTTGCCGTCGAGTTTCCAAGACCACTGAAAGGATGAGAGTTTCCCACTCCACAGATCCTCTGGATATGACGAGGATGAAAAGAAGAGGGAGCTAAATGTGAAATGAGGGCGTCATCTTTGATTGTTCTCAGTTACAAATGATGTCGCAGCTCAACCTCAACACGGCTGACATTTAGAAAATGGAAAGTGCCTCCACAGATAAGCGCTCTGATTGCCGCCGCTGCATAAACGAGTGAAAACAAAACGTTCCTTCATCAACGTGTTTAAGTCAGGCGCTCACATGTCCAACCATTTTGAGAAGATGACAGTTTCTGTTTTCAAGTGACTGTATTTGACTAGACGGAGAATTTTAATTAGCCGGATGCAAAAGAAGATGGTTTTCCATTTGCTGGTCCCCACACAAAACAAAAAGGGTTCTGCGAAGGCCTCAAAGATTTGCCAAAATTACATTTGTTACATTTTTATTTGGTTCGCTTTTGTGCTGCACTGTGTCAAATGATCCGTTTCCTCTCCTCGCCTGTGGCGGCGCTGGATCAAGAACCACTGAAGGAAATGACATGAAAACCACAGAAGAAGACGCGGAGTGCCGCGTCCTTAACGAAATGTAAACAAAAATGGAGTAGCGCCAAATTTGAGTATTTATTGGATTTTTCTTTTGTCTTTGGCAAAAGACTGAGCGTTAGATTCACACAATTGTTTTGGTTGTATTTACCCAGAATGCCGTGCGCTGTAGTCCACAATCTCCTTGGTGTTCAAACTGCACCAGAGTTCAGTTCAAACGAACCGAGACCGCAGAGTTCAGGCGGACTGAAAGCTAATCAGAGGTCGATTGCGTGTTCACACCTCCCCAAACAAACTGGAGTTTGATTAAACTCTGGGCATAAACATCGAGGGAGGAACAGTACGCAGACAAACAAACTCGCATATTTCCGTGACATCATGCTGTGGGAATGCTAGCCTTTAGCACTGACAGGAAAACCTGAGGTAATGGGAAGATAGATGGAGCTAAATACATGGGAATTGTCCTGTCAAAGTCCAGAGTGGACTTGACGTGATACTCAGACGCTCCATCCAGTCTGACTAAGCTGGAGATATTTCACAATAAAATAGAGAACAAATCAACCTCTGGATGTACAAAGCTGGTAGAGATTTATCCCACAAGACTCAATTGTAGGCTCAGTAAAAACTCCCTGGACTTGTAAGATTTGACAACTTGTCTTGGTCTCTCACATAAAATCTCAACACAACACACCAAAGTTTGTGGTTGTAATGCGATAAAACATGGCAAATGTTAAAGGATTATAAATACTTCCTTTCCCAGTATTTCAGCTTTACCTTCCTGCAACATTAACTGAGACGGGATTGGCTCGGGTGACAGGTAGGAACAATCTTAAGATATAAAAACGGATGATGCATACCTGCTGTAGAAATCATCCCTGTAGTATTCGTAATCAAACTCGTAACCGCTACAAGAGAAACAGAAGAGACAAAGAGAAAAACTCTCTTACTCTCTGTAAGGTGAGCGGCTTTGTTTTCATTTGCTGTAAGCCATAATTATCGCACTGAGAGAAAGAAAGCACTGTGTGTAACACACATTCTGTCCGATAAAGATTTACCCTCACACCCTTAAATATTCAGCTGTATACTGAGAAATGCTCACATATCAAGGTGATTTACATCACAGGTAAAAAAAATAAAAACCTTCGTGGTTTCCTCATTGCTTACCTGAGATGAAAGCTAGCTTTCAGGGCCATGCACTTTCTGAAACTTTTATTAAGAATATGTTTTTTGCATATTTATTAAAACGGTCACTACATCCTGACAGTAGAACATGAGACAGTTCATCTGTGAAAAAATAATCAAACTTCTCCGCCTTCTCCCAAGTATAAGTAGAGAAATGGACAACTCAGTCAGAGCCAAGAGGTTAGTGCTGTCAATCACCCTTGTGTACGTGCTGTTCATGCCCTGCCCCTTACTCTCCGCTACACTTCAGCTGATTGCCCACACTGCAGACTGCTGTGAATGCTTAGGGTAGTTAGCATTTTCACAGATGACGGAGGATAAACTGTTTTTCTGTAATGGTAAGTTGTTTCTCTGCCATTAGCACATTGACCAGCACATACACGAACATGATTGACAGCACTAAGATCTTCCTCCTGAATCTGCAGATGAAAAAAGGAGCACAGGGAGGAGGTGGTAAACTCAATTTTCTTCCTTGGTTTCTTTTTTACTGATCATCTGTCTCTTAACATGGTGACATTTTGAACAAATATGTAAAAAACAAATTGTTTATAAAAGTCACGTACTTCTTTTTTCATCTTGTGGACGGATGGGGAACTTATTTCAGTAGCCGGATCTCTGCATGTACGCTTTTATTTTCCATAGAATGGAATGGATATTTTTATATTCTTTTTGGAAATCTTTCAATTCTTTACCTGCTACTAAAAGCCTTAGTCAGCTCTTCTTATCTCAGAAGGAAACCAAACTAGATGAGAAATGATGTTTGACTCACATTCGGCAGAAATTACTTTTTTATTCAATTTTACTTCAAGTTTTAATAGATTTCTTTGTTTTTGCTGTTTGTGTATTTTCTGTAATTTCAAAAAGATTAGAAAAACATTTTGATAATTGTGTTTTTTCCTCTTTTTGGATTAAAATACTGAACTAGAACATTGAACTAACTTTTTAATGTCATTCTGTTTTATTAATATATACTGTGGAAGTTTCATACTGTTAAAAAAACTCCAGAAATAGAAAATAAATGACTTTAGGAGATTAAAAATGTGGATGGCGCTTCAAATGAAAAAAGAATGAAAATAAAACAGTCCAGTTTCTCGTGCAGGAATTTAAATTAGGATTTATGTCGTTTAATTTTGGAGAAATCTCTCTCTTTTGTGGTCTGTAATTACCATTTCACATCCTTCTCGCAGCAACAAAATGCAAATGAGGATCCATGGCAGCACTACACAAGCTGATAAATTAGTTAAATAAGACGTGTAAAGAAACAAACTATCAATAAAAGCAGGAGTTAATTGGTTGGATTGTTAACTTTAGGGAAAGTATGAGAAAACATACGAAACAAATCTGGACCTTTGTCATGTTAGACGCCAGTAAATATGCAGTCCGGGTTCTCCACGAAATGAAACGCGCACTGGGCAGAAAATCGGGGTCATGCTTAATGAAGCTCACACAACATTAATTCCTCTGAGCTTTCGCTGCTTTTGCTGTATAAACTGAAGTCAGGCCCCAGAAATGCAAAAATCATGCCGTTAATTGGAAATGCGAGGTTCAAACGAGGGGAAGGAGGGAAGCATAATAAGGAATCCTCATATTTTAAAGATTACAGCAGATTTACATCAGCAGCAGCAGCCGGATGCGAAAGCAGGTTAATATTCATGACAGTGGTGAAGGAACTCGCTGAATGTTGAAAGGAGGACGAGTCGTACCTGTAAACAGCTGAGAGCGGCCGCTTGGAGCCGCCTTTGGGCCTGTAAGGCTTGGGCTCGCCCGCCATGTTTATGTCTGTAAGAACAAAGAGAGAAAAACTCATCAGTCAAGGTACACTGAAGGAAAATTCACAGATAACACTCCACACGGCAAAAATAAAATGTTACCCTTCAATCTGGGTTGTCTAATTAAGACAATGTGGAAGAGTCTAAAAACTTCCCACATTTCTGCAAAATCTGCTTCCAGAAATAATATTTTTATCAGGCAGCTCTGATCATTTTCTGATAAACGCTTCACTGATTGTAAGGCCACTTATTTCTAACATGAATCTGAATCATCCTGGCTTCAGAATACACCCGATTCAAGTTATTGACCTTAAATAAGTAAGAAAAAAAAGAGAAATAGTGGAAATGTGCAGAGGCTGAAGTCCTTGATGCCGTCATCCCGAGTTATGGGATGACGGCATCCTTCTTTCTCCAGCCTATTTCCTGTCAATTTACTGCTCAAAATGCAACAAAATCTAAAAAAGAGAGTAAACTAACAATAAAGTATTCACTTTAAGATGCATCGCTCAGAGAAACGGCTTCGGATTATGATGACAGTGCTGAACAAACCTTTAAAAAAAATTAGAAAGACGTTCAACTCTACGTCATAAGGGAACAACTCCAGTACTGTAAAAAGAGAAGATTTGTTTTTATACATGAGTCAATAACGGACAATGATCAGGCTCCAATGTAATCTAGATTTACTTTGCTTATTTTGGATGCCAAATTTAATTTCCATACAGCCAATAATGTCTGAAGCAGTTGTTTATGCACCTTTTAGATAAGCAGCGACAAAAATTATGAGCATATCATGAAGATGATTAAGGATTAAAATGAGAAAGGAGATAAAAGGCACAAAAAATGCAATAATGTCAGAGTTTAATTTGAAAAAATCCTTTTTAATAAAATTGTGGAGATGCCGCCCCTTCCCCTACCTGGATTGTATTAGGATTTACTTTACAAAAAGTGATTTAAAATACATTATTCTGTTTTCTCTCTGTCCATGTATATATTATTTATGCACAAAAATGTGTGAGATTGAATAAATGAATATTATCTTTAATTTTATTCAACCGTATATGGCAGTTTTAGCATCAGTATTAAAAGTTGTATTAAGTGAGCTAAAGTTTTATGCACAAGACGTAATGTAGGCAGTGCAAATATTCTCTTTTAAATGTTAACATGATGCAATAAAAGCTGTGAAAAATGAAAGAGTCGAAGCAAAAAGTGAGAAAACTCTTTCCTTGTAAATTGACTAAAGGCAGCACAAGAATCCCATCATATTCTTCTTTTTATGTTGTCCCTGAGATCACACTCACAGAAGCACTCGAGAGGCTGCTTCATAACCGATTCCAGTTAATGACTTAACAGAAATATTGTCATGAACATTGCAAAGAAACTTAAACCTTGTTGTAAAGTTATTTTAAATAGGAGCTCAGGATAAATCCCTTATAGACCTTAAAGATGTTCTCTGACACTTTTAGCCTTACAGCTGTACATATTTGCTTAAATATTTCATGCCTCTGCTTTTCCGATGCCAAATAAAAGGAGGCGCCCAAATCCCTGAGAGTGGGGTGGCACTGGAGTAGAAATAAGCTGCTGGCGAACTCCTTCTACCAGAGGAAAGGAGATTAAATCCGGGTGTTTTTGTACGCTCACTACTTAAGAGTGGAACGACCGGATGAGCGTGTTTTTGTGTCAGCATGCTTGATAGAGTTTGACCTCTGTGCCGACTTACAAGATAATTACAGTTTTGCTCATTAACCTGGAGGTTTACCGACATCGGAGGCAAACCTTCAATTAGCGCCAAGCAGCCAGCATAGCAATTATATCATCCAAAACCCCCAAAGCAATTAAAACAATCACAGGCACAACAAGTTTGATGTAAACAACGTGTGCCTCATATCCCTCCTGCTCTGCGTTGGGATTTTAGGTAACGGTGCTGCAACAGCTTCGACATTCGCTGAGTGAAGCCGTCAGGAAACGTGAGGCGCAAACACCAAGTTCAGAGCAGAAAGGTAAAGATTTCCTGGACCTTCTAGTTTCCAACACTCAGATATGGTCACAAGATAAGGATCAGAACTGAAACTCAAGCAGGCAGCTTCTTTCCTGAGCGTCCGAGATCAGCATTAGACATAAGATGAAGAGTAAAACCTCTGCTTCCCCTCTTAAAAATGAGGCTGCATTCACACAAGCCCCATTTAGTTCGCTTTAATTGAACTTTAGCTGGTTTAACTAGAAACTCTTCATTTGGGGAAGTGTGAATGTGTGATCAAACTCTGAATCTAGGCCTCGGTTTGGTTGAAGTGAACCCTGGTTCAGTTCGAATGGATGTGAACACCAAGCAAACCAGAGATCCCTTCAAAAGCAGGAAGTGAACTATAATGCAGAGCATTCTGGGTAAATACAACCAAAACAAAAGTGCGAGTCTATCGCTAACGGGAGAAATGACAAAAGAAATCCTACAACCGCTAAAATCTGACGTCACTCCTTTTTTCCTTACATTTCATGAAGTAAAGGAAGTTGCACTTGGTGACTTCTTCAGGGGTTTTGGTGCAGCGCCCCCCACAGGTGAGGGGGTGGAACAAGTCTTTCAAAGGGTTTGGATCGTTTGACACAGTGGAGTGTAAAAGCGAACTTTGGTCTCCAATCGTACAAAGTCTACCAGATGATCAGGTGTGAAAACAGAAGAAGTTGAGGCCATTTATTCAGGATTCCTTTCTGCAAGGATCGCAAAAACCGATCGCTTCTTTTCCAGAAGCATCTTTCAGAAACAGGCAGAAGAGACACTGGTTTGATGAATTAATGAGTGAATAAACAAACTGATGGATCAAAAGGATAAGACTGATAGATGGGATTATTAATAGATTGAAAGATGGATAAATTAATTGATGAGCAAAACAACAGATGGATCGGACATGCTGTGAAGACCGACTGCAGTTTATTCTCTCTGAACACGTTGTTCCCCTGCAGCCACAAACTCTCCCCAGTGTATGTATGAGCAGTTCCCTCGGTAAGTGACCACACTGGTTGTTGCTTTTTCTTTACTTAGTTTCCTCCCTTTGTTCTGTTGTTCTGACTTGTTTGGCAGCTCGATGTGCAGCTGGGGGAGCCAGAGAAGGAGATGGAGCTGTCTGTGGTGCTGCATAAGTTAAAGAGGCTTCTTAAGGTTTCTGTCTCTGCTCTAAAAACAAAAAGACGGCTCCAGCTCGCAGCTATGTAAATGTGCACATGATGCAACGTGAATTTTGATGCCCTAACAACTTGCTTAGGCAGGTTTGAGCTTGATTCCCCTTTACTGTTATTCTCAAAAGGAAGGTCCCCGTCTGTCAGCAGAGACTGCGAGGAGCAGAGCAATGTTTCTTTAAGTGAGCATTGTTATGGGTAAAAAAAAAAGAAGAAGAAGAATAAAACTACAGCGGAAAGACCGAGCCACGGAGTGTAAGTAATCACCCAGACAGGCTTGTGTTCCTCTGTCAGGAAAACAAGGATCCGTGACTCCCCGGAGGAAGCTGCCCATGTGTTTTATTGGTCTCATTTGTTGCCTTACATCTCTGTCTCCCTCACCCTCCTCTTCCTCGTGCATCCTTCTGTAACCTGAGCATCATCCAATCCTTCAACGTCTCCTCCATCTCCTTCACATTCACAAAAGACAATATCTAACCTCGATCACCCTCCGTCGCCCTATCAGACGGTGCGTTTCGTCTCTCCGTCTCTTCACACTGAGGCGGCTCATTACGAGACGTTTCAGAGCTGCGGGGCCTTTTCTGCGCGACACCTGCACAGCTGAAGAAAGCTCCCACTTCCCATCTCCTTTCATTAACAAGGGTGGAGAAACAGCAGCGCAATAAAAAGGATGCGCTCCCCAATAAATCGAGGCTATAAGCCGAGATGCAAGACAATTTACTGGAAACAAAAACAGAAAAGTGAACGGAGGGGAATGCAAATCTTATTCCTGGAGGGAGTGTGAGCTGTCGGACCGGAGGAAGCCGCAACAAATCCGACTCCGTCTCCGCGGCTTCATCTTCCTCTCTGAAAATCTCTCCCCCTCCTTCAGACGGAACAAGGGGAACACCAGCTAATAGCCCGAGGCTCAGCGTGGCGCTAACAGGCGATGGCTAGCAGGAGTCAACAGAAGGTCAGAAGGGGCTGGATGGAGGCTGTTTCAGTGACAGCACCGACACGTTTGGCGTTTTAGGTGTTTACTGAAAGATTTAAGGATTCCCGAGGCTCATTTTGTGAATCCAGAAATGACAGTTTATTTGTGATTCAGTTAAATATTTTAGTGAATTATTTTTCTGTAGACTATTCATACAACAAATCGGATTTAAAAAAATCAGCACATGCTGCATGCGTTTCATTTAATCACTTTAGCCATTTCTGCATAAAATTAGTAAAAAAAAGTAATTTCTTTTTTAAAAAAAAAACACATATTGCTAAAAATCCAATTACACAGCATTCTTTTATAATCTGAGAAACTGATATTTTAAGTAGTCTCTTAATTTTTCCATAGCTATATGTTTATTTTTTATACAGTTTTGGCCAAATTTCTGCTCCAACTCTGTTGTTCTTTCAGAAAATGACCTTTTCTGAGTCCTGCATACTCAAGTTAACGATTAATTGATAATTTAAAAAAAAAATCAACAGTTGTAAGTAGTTAAATGTGTGATTTTGATTAAGATACAAAGCACCGATGTTTTGTTTTTGCCTCATACACATGACTTAGATCAACATATTTTAACAAAAATAACCTGAGAAAATACAAAATGCAGTTAAAAAAAAAGTTAAAGTTAAAGAAAAAGCTAGCCTAAAGCAAAAGTAAAGAAAACAACTCCCAGTGAATTGTGCTAGTGGTTTTAGCTCCAGGTATTCAGGCCTATGGCAACATTCAGCACCTGAAACAGAAACTGTTTGCAGCTCCAAGTAACCAACACAATTCTAATGAATGATTTCTCTATTCTAAGCATATTATTTTTGGTTTTTGTTTCTATTAAGAAAAGGATTAGAATTGAAATGAGTCAGCTGCATTACATAATGATTAAACAAAAAAGAGAAAGAGAATGACCTTGTTAGGAATTACACCCACTGTAAGCCAGAGAGTGGTAATTTTCCTGTCAAGCTACAGCGTGTTTCTGTAAGAAAATAAGAGAAATATCCAGCCTACTAAAAAACACCTTGGCAACTGTTGGTTTCCATTGCTGCAAATGACCTGTTTGTACACCAGCAGCGAAGAAACATAGAGGCTATAATTGAGACAATAGCAATTCATGTGTGCGTGTGAGTGTGTGTGTGTGCCTTTATCCACAGACTGGAAACAAACAGGTGAAGAATCAGTTTTTCAAAAGAAAAGAAAATCTTTATCAGCTGTTTCACATGCTTTATCTTATTTAGTATCAAAGAGTTTTAATTTTTTTCCCTGTATTATGATAGCCTTATTCAGAAGCTGTTTGGGTTAATCTTCAGATAAAATGACCAGTAAGACAAAGAGAATGTTTGCAACATAACGGCATTTATTGTACCATTTGAATTTCTGCAGAAATCACATTAAAAGATTAAAGATCTATTCTGGACTTATTTCCAAAGTGAGGCAAACATTGAAGATTAAAATCAGACGAGGCTTTGTGTGAGTGTAATGTTGCTATGCAGTAAAACTAGGTTCATTATTAGCAATTATATGCTCTGTTATAATCCTGTTTCAAGTTGCCATGCTCCAATTGCTAATTTAGTAAAAAGACAGACAAAGAAACCATCCAGTTCTGTGCTAATTTTATATATAGAGACTTGAAAAGCCACAAAAAAGAATAAAAAATAATTCAAAAAAATTTATAGTACTCAATTATACTGCTCTCAAGTACAAGAAAATATGAGCTTAAAATCCCTAAAACATTTGCCATCACCTTGCTTTTACCATTCTTATAAAGATATTGTTATATATTTAATATATATTACAATGTTTTTCTTTCTGTAGTGCTTAAGAAACATTTGCCTCCATGGTGAACCGAGGCTGCAGTCTATTATAGCTTCATAATCAGGTGAAAAAGTTGGTACATTTGAGCAGGCAAAGGCAGGATTTGATTATTTATTTTTTAATTAAAAGTAATTTAGCAGTTATCTGTACAGTTTTAAGGTGCATGAAGGACCATCATTCATTTGTGAAAGCGATAAACGAAAAGAAAAAAAACTAAGTAGTAGAAATCCTAGTAGAGCGGCTACCAATTACTGCAAAAACACAAAATCCCACCAAGTATGTTGGTCTAGTTTCTAGTGCAGGTTGGCATTAGCCGCACAGGGACGCCCACTAGAAGGAAACAAACGCACCCAGTACAACACTTTCATTCTATTGGCTGAGAGGTTGCTAGGTGATGGTACTTTTCTGTTCCAAGTGCAAGCAGAAAATTATTTGCAAACGGGCAGAGGTTTGATCTGAGCAGAGACAAGTTTCGAGCGCGAGGAGAAACGTTTGAGAGAACACAGTGAATATTTGAAAGGGAGCAGAAGTTTTGAGTACAAGAATTACAAGTTTCCGAAAGAAAGAAATTAAGTCCTGCTTTCAAACTGGAAAGGTAAGCGCAGGGATAAGAGACACAAAATCCTGCTTTCAGACTGAAAATATGTGCCATCGAATTATGGCAGAAAAATCCCCCCCATAAAATAAGCTCTTATATCTTAATGAAAAGGTACTCGAAAGTTAGTTTTGTCTTATTTTAAGTGTGAAAAGATTGTTGTACTAGAAACGAGATGAAATGTTTGGTAAGACTTTGTGTTTTTGGAGGATGCAATGAAAACATTCCTGTGCTATTTGGCTTTTAGGAAGACTGATAAAATGCTTATAAATATTCCTTCACTTTTTAATGATGCAATGCATAGGAATGATTTTGAATTCTCAAAACCAAAAATGCGCAAAATTGGCTCTCCAGCAGAGCATCCTGCTGTTAATGAGGTACAGAAAGTCTGTCTCCACCTGATTAAAGTGCCTTAGTACAGTCTGTGCAGCACATCAAATTTTAGACGTGCAGCACAAGTGATTGACTACAATAAGCCACCTTTGAGACATATCAGCTAGAGCCTTCAAGGAATGAGTAATGGCTCCTTTCTTTTCCAAAAACAGAAGAAAAAAATAGTCTCAAATGAACCCTGCAAGGTGACTCTATATCATGGTTTCCTTCTTTTATGCTTCTTTTATTCCTTTATAAT